CACAGAGAGTTGAGACTGGCTTGTGCCTTTCTTGGGCTTCTTCACTTCCAGAGCAAGCTGGGGAAGATCCACAGCAATCCAAGGGGACAAAAGATGCTCTGTACAAAGCACTTTTACCACTTGAAGGCAGCGGAGGTGGCAGGGAGCCACCAGGATTTCCTGCAGGTGTGGGGGCTTCAGGAAATGTGAAAACTGTGGAGAATCAGGCTGGAAAGATGACTCCATTTTAAAGACAGAAAATTGGAGAGAGCTCAGAGAAAGCCCCTATGAAGATGAAAGGACAGCAGGTATTGATTTACGTAGGAAGATCAAAAGAGCTATATTTGTATATAGTAGTTTAGCTAAGTGATGACTAAGTGTTTAACGGGAAGGGTTTGAAGGACACAAACCCAGAGAGGGTTTGTGCAGTGAAGGAGCTCAATAGGAGCAGTAGGGTGGGAGAAAAGAATGGCAAAAGAGGCAGATCCCAGCTGCCTGCAGATGTTTCTTGGGAGGGGTATGTGAGCAGCCCTGCTGACACCCAGCCCCATGACACACGTGGCAAACCAGTGTCCCAAAGCTTTCCAGAGCCCATCCTGCACTTTGCTCACTGCAAATTCACTTCCAATCAGCTCCTGCCATGCCCCAGCATCCAGGAGCACAGGGAAGGTCCTCGAGGGGCCCAGGGTGCCCTCACAGAGGGTGACACCAAGGTGACTGACCCTAGAGGGCTGGGAGCTCTGTGATTGCCCTAGCTCACACAATACCCCAGGACAGAAGCAGAAATAACCCTACGTCTCAAATCTACTTCTGAGGACCCCACTGTCCTTCTCCACCCACTCCAAAGCCTAAAGAATTCATCCCCAGTCTCTGAACTTACTTAAATATGACTGAAGGCATCACATCTTTCCTGGAAACAGTGTTTGAAAAGATAAACCTGAGTATGGCACAGGACCTAATCCATCTGTAGGGGGTCTGCTCCATTCTGTTCCACCTCTGCTGGGTTACTCAGGATTTGCAGGGAGAGGGATGGGACCACAGCCAGAATAGCAAAAAACTCTTCTGTTCCTCAAGGTAATTCAGGCCCAGGTGGGAAAAAGCCAGTTAAAATGACTGTAATGAGTGACTTACCCTCAGCCTCCCTCCTCTGTGGGCCTGGACTGGCACATGTCTCCCTTGCGCCAGGAGCATTTCAGAAGCTGACACCATGGAAATCCTCCACGGAGAAGAATCCTGAGTGCACAGGACAGAAATAAACACACAACAACCATGCTGGGTTGTGCAGGGCTGTGCAGGGAAGGATCTGGGGGCCACAAACTCCATTAATCAGCTGCATTTTTTAGTTACCTCATAGTCTGGGATCTGCTTACTCTGCTAAAGGCTGAGCTGCGCACCTGAGCAATGCCAATCCAGCCCTCTAGAGAAGGATGGAGAAGGGAAAGGGGAAGACAAGCAGGACAGAGAGCATCTGATAAGAAAGCCTGATTGAATCACTCTGTCATTACCTGGGACACCCTGAAATCTCTCTGGCCTCGCTTCGTAGCCTGAAAATACCCAGAAAAAAGCTTTTGCTCCAGAATCTGGAGGGACATCCAGGCAGTTTAGATCAATTCCAGTGCTCTGCTCTCTGTCCACATCATTCAGCATTTTATCCACCATTTGCTGGAGTGATTCTCTTCGCTGGGAATGTTTATAGACAGCAGAAAGGGAGGTCACAAGTAAGTAATGACGAGAGCAGAGCAGGTCACAGTGTGGGTTAAATGAGCCCACGTACAAGGGGCAGGATTCATGGCCCCTTACAGACCCACTAAATACATTTTTCTCACCTTTTCCTATCAAGTGTCAACAAGATCTACCCCAGTCGAGGGCCCCTTGATCCGTGTGGCCAAGTAGGGATTCAGGAGGATAAACACCCACACGTGGTTGGAAAGGGTGACAACACATGGGGTGTTTTGCTCAGCCTGACACAGTCACTTGACCACAAGCTGCTCGCCCCCTCTTCACTGCTGAGGTACATCAGCATGGAAAAATGTAGTCTGATGCAAGCCAGTGCAAGATAACACCTCTGGAAACCAGGAATGCAAATCACAGCTACATCCAATGTGAGAGATTACCTCAGAAAGCACTGACTGCAGCAGGACTAAAGATGCTGTCCCTGGAGTAAGTGAATATTTATCCAAGCAGGGAGAGGAACCAGGCTTTCAGTGGACATTTGCATTTTCTTCTTCTCTTACCCTCCATTTTTCCCTATTTCACCCACATTTGCATGACTTTATATGAAAAAACATCCCCCTCCAGCATTTTAGAGTCTATGAGAGCCCTTGTGCAGAGCATAGCACAGCTCTGGGCTTTCAGAGCTTTTCCAGAGATGTGGGGTGTCCACACAGGGAGGGGAGGCCTTGGAGAGCATTTAAAAGGATTCCACACATAGCTGACAGCTGGAAAAAGTCTGAACTTGGCTCAGCTTCCTCAGTTTGCCAAAGTGTTGCTTAAAGAATCCCAAAATGTCTCGGCATCAACATGGAAATATCCTGGCTTGCAGGGGACTTCCCAGGTGATGAGATTCAATGCCTGGAAGCTCAGGTCAGATAAATCCCAAAATATTGAGCAGTTTCCCAGCAGGGAGGGACACTGGACACTGGAGGCCCTCACGAGGGTGTGGATCCTCCTCCTTGGACACTGCTGGAGAAGATAACTCCTTTACAGGTTTTCATCCAGCTCCTGGGAGGGAGCAGAGGGAGTGGGGCTGGATGGCTCAGGGCATCCCTCCGTGCCCCTGCTCCCTTCCTTGTCCCCTCAGCCATGACCAGAACAGGAAATTCTGGGTGATCTGCTGCTCAGCCTTGCTCTCCCCATGAAGCTGTAGTCCAATCTCACTCCCCAAGACCTCAGGAAGGAATCTGTTGATTTATTTTCCTCCCCCAGGCTCACTTGGCCCAGCAGATGTTGCTTGCTTGTTCTTTTTGTTATCTCCTCACCTTCCTCTGAATGGTCAAGAGAAGGGCTTGGTTGGAGCTGCCACAGCCAGGGCATGCCAGGAGTGGGGGTCACCTTGTTCTGTGCCCTTTGGGATCAGCTGGTGCCACCTCCCCAAATCACACAGAGTTCCTGTGACATTTAGTGACGATGGTGGGTACCAGAGGCAGAGCTCATAACCTGGGACAGCACATCCTTTAGCCTGTCAAGTGGTCCCACTGCTCAGAACCTTCCAGGTCTGCCCAAATAAACATATGTAAGAGCTGAAATTCAATCTCCCCCCTGCCCTGTCCCCTGGAAAACTCTTTGATGACTAAGCCCATTAGGGGAGGAGCAAATCTCCTGGAAATGTCACAGCTGATCTCTGCTGACCTTATCAAAGTGCAGGATCAATACATTGACCTGTTCAGAGCAGCAAACCTTAAGCAAAAGCCAAGGAGAAGCAATTAAAGCAGAATTTCAAGAATGGGAAGGGGAGGGGGGAGATGGAAAAAGCCCCTATTGTTGCTCTGGAGAGTGAAAAACAAATGAGCCAAAAGGAACCGTGATGCTGAGAATTATCATCTACATAATTAGTATTTGATAAAGCAGGAAATAAAACATAACACCCATTCATCATGCTGACAGCTGCAGGACCGTGGTGCCAGGCTCATCACTGTGCCTTCAGCAGGGCAGGTTCCAATCCTCACCTCCAGCTCAGGGTGCCCAGCATGCCCTGAGACATCCCAGGGACTGGTTTGGAACATGCCAGGCATGATCCAGGCTCAGGACTGCCTGGATTTGAAGGGTGGAGACCATCAGTCTTGGGGACAGCTAAGGAGCTTCCAGTGAGTCTGGGACCTCGGGCACACAGGGACCTTCAGGCAGCCTGGAGAGATAAACTGACCTTCCTGACACCTGGAACTCGACCAGCTCCCCCCATCATGGCTGCAGCAGTCCCTGCCCTGGCTTTGTACTGGGAAAAAAACAAAACAAAAAAAAACAAAAGCCAATCATCATTTTGAATACCTCATCCCATCCTGGGAGGTGGCAAAGCCATTTCAAACAGCCTGGAGCCAACCTGCCTTGCAGGACAAGTGTGGACAGGGGCAAGAAATGGGCCTGGGTACCCAAGGAGATGCAGCCAGAGGATTTCTGGTCAAACACAACCTATCTCAGCTCCTGTAGACCAAAAAGCAGCACCTCCCCTCTGGTTTTCCATAAGATGCAAGAGTATTTTCTGATAAACTTGTTATTAACCTTCCCATGAAAAGGGCAATCCACAGTGAAGGGGCTCCAGAGTGGAAAGAGGAGCTGTGGCTCCCACAGAGGACAATTTAAAGGAGCAGGTGACTGAAAGAACACCAAACAGAATCAAAGAGATGGAGATTAAAAGGTAAATCACTTGTAGGACATCTAGAGCAGCTCTCTCTACAGGGCATTGGCCAAGTGAGAGATATTTTTCTTTCTCTTTATAGCAATTTTTAAGATTTGCCTTTTGTCACAAGGGTGAACATGAGGCATTTAAAGGCAACTCGGGGACAAAAGAGGCAGAAGCCAACTTTGCCTTTGCTGACACAGAGCCAAGTCCCTGCTGGCAACACCACACCTGCTGTGCAGGGCTGTGCCCAGCTCCAGACTGCCCACTCGGGGCAGATCCCTGTCCATCTGCTCAGGCACAGCATTTCACTGGAAAAATACTAAAAAACTCCCTTGAGTATTGCAAGTGCCCCAATTCCCACGTGAATCATCTCACCATTAACCACAGGCTGCTGTGAGGAACAGGAAGAGCTCCGGTCCCAGCCCTTCCTCCTTCCCTCCCTTGTTATTTGCCATCCCTTCTAATTTCATCAACTTCTTTTGCTGCCTGGTTCTTCATAATCTCACCTCATTAACCCACGACAAGGCAGGATCTCAGCTCTCCAGCTGACCACCTTTTCTCAGCACAGACAGAGCCCTGTGAACAATGTGTTTAGGATGTGTTTCAAAAAAAAAGCAATCAAAGCGAGTCTCTGCTGTCCTGGGGAATTCTCTGTGCACCGAGAGCCTCATCAAACCAGGGGAAAGAAAGCAACAGCAAATTTAACAGTGCCATCCCTAGCAACCACAGATGGCTGTAGTTCCTAAATAAGCATTACATTAGTGCAAAGGAGAGAGGGGGAAAAAATTAAAGGAAGAAAGGAAAATATAACAGCTGTATCTTAAGCCCGGAGGCTGATGCTAAATCTACATTTGTAGATGCTTTCAGCACTGGCAATAAAATTCAAGTTGCTTCCACGTTAAAGGGGCACTGCTGAGTGTTTTATGCAGCATCCTCGACCTGCTGATCATTTGGTGGGAACATCCTCCAGCTGTCCAGCAGGATGGGGACCTGGGAAAACAGAAGGAGATGTGTCCACAGGGGAAAGAAGTGGGGGAAAACATTAATATTTAATGGAGTGTTTTACACTCCTTTGAATGGAGTGTTCTGCTACAAAAAACACCAACAAAAACCAAACAAATACAAAAATCAATAGTGCACAATGGCCTTCAGTGCACTGACAGAAGCATCATTCGCCCTCTCGTCACTGCTGTCATGTTAAAACCACAGCTCCAACAATTTCCCCAGCCTGGAATTCTGCTGGGTGGGCAAAACAGAGGAAAAAGAACTGGGGGCCTTGACTTGAAGTCTTGACCCTTCCAAAGCAGAGGAAATCTCACTCTGAAAGCTGGAGCTCAGGTGGGGTTCATGGAATGAATCAGGGAATTACAGAATGAATCATAGGATCCCAAAAGTGTTTGGGTTGGGAGGGACCTTAAAGCCCATCTCATTGCACCCCCTGCCATGGGCAGGGACACCTTCCACTAACCCAGGCTGCTCCCAGCCCTGTCCAGCCTGGCCTTGGACACTTCCAGAGGTCCAGGAGCAGCCACAGCTTCTCTGGGCACCCTGTGCCAGGGCCTCCCCATCCTCACAGGGAACAATTCCTTCTGTATATCTAAGATAAATCTCCCCTCTTTCTGTTTGAAGCCATTTCCTGTATCCTGTCCCCCAATCCCTTGTCCCCAGTCCCTCTCCATCTCTCCTGGAGCCCCTTTAGGCACTGGAAGGGGCTCTGAGCTCTCCCTGGATCCTCCTTTTCTCCAGGTCAACATCCCCAGCACACCCAGCCTGTCTCAAGAGCAGAGAACCTCCAGCCTTTGGAGCATCTCTGTGACCTCCCATGGACTCACTCCAGCAACTCCACATCCTTCTGGTGCTTTGATTCCAGGGCTGGGGCAGCTCTGCAGGTGGGCTCTCACCTGAGCAGGGCAGAGGGGCAGAATCCCAATCCCTTTCCTGCTGCCCACGCTGGGATCAGCCCAGGGCATGAGGGGTTCTGGTCCTGGTGAGCAGAGCTGGGTCACACTGAGCTCATCCCCCACAGCCACAAGTCCTTCTGCTCAGGGCTCTTAGGGAAAGTTCTGCTCCAGCTGAGGGGATGCTGGAGATTCTTCCCCATGATCTGGGAAGGAAACCATGAGTTTGCTGCCAGCAAAGAGCACAGCTGGCACAAATATTGGAGGAGCATGTCACGGTGACATGACTGGACCTCCAACTCGGTGCAAGAGCAGCACCATGGTCCTGAGTCACCTCCACGCATGGCTGTGCCCAGCCTGCAGCCAGCTCAGCCCAGCACCGAGAGGAGCATTTTCCTGAGGCAGAAGTAGGAATGCCAAGGATCAGCCATGGGAGCAGCCCCCAGAGATGCACCTTCATAAACAGAGACAACCCAAACCAGTCCTGATCCCAAATCACCGAGCTCAAGCGACACACACGTGTGTGTGCTGTCAGGGATGAGGTTCCTTGCAATCTCACACATCCCTTTTCCTCTCCTTTGCTCTTTAAATGTTTCATTTGTCTCATGTTTCCATCAGTCTATGACAAAATGCAAAATTACCTCCACAGTGTCCGAGCTGTGGAACCTTCTACCTTCTCTTGAACTGTTCAGCATTTTTACCACATTCATTTATTTTTATTACACTTCATTATAACAGTGATGTCCTCTAAGGTACTTGGGTTCTTCAGCAACCCATGACTACTCCCTCCCTCACAAACATTGCAGATTATTCCTGTTTAGCTGCCACATTCCCAGTCCATCCCTGAATTAGCTACGCCAATTAATTACCAGCCCCTGGGACTGCTCTTAGAGCACAAGCCCTGAGGCTGAGGAGTAAAAGGGATGTTATTACACAAGTGAGCAAGGTTTGGCTGCTCTTACCTGAGGTCCCTCGGGATTTTCCATCAGATCGTTGATTTCCTGCAAAAGGAACAACTCACCTGGGCATGTCAATGCCAAGACGTTCTTGTTTCTAAACAAAATATAACCCGAGTGTTTTGACAATATCAAAACATCGTGTTTCATTATTTTGAGGGCATGGAAGACTTTTATATTAATTTTAAAGCATCTTTTCACTTAGAAGTTTCTCTTATAATCCAATTGCTTTAAATGCTAAAATCAACTCAAAATATGTAAACAATTTTTAATGGTTTCACGGAGACATGTCAGGACAAAAAATACATTTAAATTAAACTCCATCATTTTTCCTTGAAATGGGAAATGCACTTCTTGCTCAGGTCTAGACATCAGTACAACGTCTTGGTGGACTCTGATGTAACGGAGAGAACCCACCCAGGAGAGAGGGATAATGGGGCTAACAGGGAGTGCTGGTGGGCATGGAAAAATCCAGGCTGAGCCAGGAGAGGAAAGAGGCAGAAGGATGATCTGGGAGCAATGCTGCAGGCCAGGGAAACATGAATTTGTGATGCCAGGTGGAGTATTTGCACCTGGGCCAGCTTTCAGGGAGCTTGGAATGGGAATGGAGAAGCTGCCAAAGGAGGCCATTTCAGAGCACTCATTTCAAGGACAATCCACAGAATCCTTTTAAATCCCATCAATTAGTGAAAAACCCACCCTGGAATTTCCTTCCCTCTAAAGCAGACTCCCTGCTGTGCCAGTGCAGAGCTGCATCCCGGTGCCATCAAGGGGAGATCTGGAAACATCATCTCCATCCTTCCGAGCTGCTCTGGATCACCAGAGAAAGCAGATCAGTGCTGGGAGAAAAGCTGGAGCCATGCTCTGAAGCACATTAATTGCTTATTAATTACCCCATTCATCACGGTGACACCCGTGTCTGCATTCCCAGTGGTACCCTTGCCGTTGGCTGGGACTGTCACACTGCTTTGGGTAAACTGAGACACTTCTGCTGCCTCACCTCAAACCATCCTGGATCCCAAAGGGTGAAAAACAAACCCAAAAACCCCACACCTTCACGAGAATCCAAATGACAACATGGCAGGTTGGAAACTTGCCCCTCAATGGCAGCAGGGAAATGCAGATGAGAGGGGACTTCCAGGACAAGGGTGCTCCCAAGCCTCAAAGTTTGGGATTCATGGTACAATTTGCAAAGTATCATTTTACAGAGCTCATCCAGGGCTTTGCTGCAGCTTCCCACAGGCAACTGCAAGTTCCCATTAAATCACAGAGAGCTGTAAACCAATCACCAGGGAAAATTTCTGTTCCATCACCGGTGCTTTTTCTTTATTTCATTATTTATAGCACTCTCTGATTTCCAGCAACTTTTTTATTATAAAAAAAAATTATTTTCTTTGTCTGAAAATTGATATAAAAAGAAATCCATCTCTCAGCCGTCATTTCTCTTAATGATGTTTACATCAGCAGATGGGGAAAAAATCACTTTTTAAACAGAATTTATTACCCGCTGACCCAAAGCTTTCCCATACATCACTGTGCTTTCACAAAGTTAGTTTCCACAGCAACATGATGTAACTCTCCAGCGTGTCTGGGAACTGCTGATGTTAACTCTTCCACTCCTATCCATATTTCTTTGTGAAGGGATACCTTGGCCACATGGACACCTCAACACTGGACGATAGAGTGGATCTCCTGAGTTGTAAGGGACCCACAAGCATTGCCCAGCCCTCAGCTCCTGGCCCTGCAGTGACACCCAACAGTCCCCTCCTGTCCTGTCCCTGACAGCGTTGTCCAAACGCTCCTGGAGCTCTGGCTCAGGAAGAACTCTGGCTCTGGGAAAGCTCAGGCTCAGGAATGCTCTGCAGATAGGGGCATCTTTAAGCTGTCTCATTTAATGAGATCAAGTAACAGCTTCAAGCAAGAGGGAAAGGCTGCAGGTGTCTCAGGGTAAGGGACCAGCTGGGCAGGGGTAGCACGGAAGGAAGGAGAGGGATGTCTGGAGAGGCTCATCACAAAGTCATGGAAAGGCTTGGGTTGGAAAGGTCCTTAAAGATCATCCAATTCCCAAAAGCAGGAACACATTCCACTAGAGCAAGTTGCTCCAAGCTGGCCTTTTCACTAGTGCAGCTGAAAGCAAGTTTATCACCAATTCCCAAAAGCAGGAACACCCTGTGAGAGATCTTCCTCCAGGCCCACCTTCTGGCCACCAAGGCCACATGCCAAGAGAGTCTGGGAACAAAACTTAATACAGGGTTCTTCAGCAAAAGGCTTAGTGAAGATGGACAGACACATAAAATAGTGATGAATTCCTCTGGAGTGAGCACTTTGTGCTGTGGTTCATCTCTTCAGCAAAACTTGGCATAGAAGCACCCAGAGAGCAGACCCGCCCTGGCTCTGAGGGACCACTGTGCACAAACAGCTCCAGAGCTGTCCCCAGCAGCAGAACCCCCAGAGAATGAGCACAAGAGCATCAGCACCAGCATCCCGAGGAGGGGAAGGGCTCAGCACAGCACCAGGAAACTCTCCAAGGATCTGGCTCCAGGCTTTGGCCCTGCAGCTCCAGCCCAGCTTCAGGCCCGGGGGGATTTAGCAGCAGATCTGGCCCCTCAGCAGTCAAAGCTCAGCTGCAATAGAGACAGTTGCTCCTATCACTGCATCCATTGATTGCTGGGATGTTGATAAACAATTGATTTTTTTCTGCAAAAGTGACCTGGAAGGAGTTTTATGCCTCTCTCTACCAGGAGTGAGCGATAGCAGGAGCCTAACAAACACAGGGAACACACACTATCTCCTGCTAGGACAGATAATTCCTGCTAGCAAACAGCTGAGTAACAGAAAGAACTTGCTTCTGCTGGGATTTGGGAGTCTACCATGGTGGGAGATGGGAAAAGCATTTACTCAATGCTTTGGCTCAGATATCACTGTGTCACTTTGGCACCTTATCAAAGGAATCCAATATCTCCAGCCCCTTGGCTTGAGCCAGTTACAGAGCAGTAAGTGATCCACCTGAGGAGAGATGGCAATCAGCTCTCAGCACAGGCCTGCCAGAGATCAGAGCCAAAGAGAAAAAGGCTGTGGGACCATGGGAGGCAGTCACAGCCCCCAGAGACAAATCATATTGAGGGGAAAGCAGCCCCAGGAGAGCCTTGTCAGGAGAATGTCACACAGAGAGCCCTGGAGTCAAAAAACAACTAGGCATTTCAAGGGACGAGAGAAATGCAAGTTCCCTGGGTCTGTGGCTCCCTGAGAATTGGTGCTATATATCAGATTAGAAACCAGAAATCTGGGAGCAAAACGTAATCCAGGCATTGGGGTCCTTCAGGAAAAGAGGACCATGTAATTAACTTATCCCTAACTTGGGAAAACCTAAAGTAGCATTCACAAGAGACAGCAAAGCAAAGGGGCACGCTGGAAACCAGGCCCTGGCACCTCTGATCTCCCCAGACATCCTTGGATGCTGCAGAGCTCTGCTGTGAGAGTCCTCTGAGGAATTCCAAGTGCACTGTGGGTCTGTATTTCTCTCTGGACATCATCCCTGTGTGTGCTGTGCAACAGCTCACTGACATTGCACTGCCAGGGTCTACAGAGGCAGAACTTCCTCCTGAATTTCCTTCTGTCTCCCTTCAGCACTTCTAAAAACCACACAATGGCCAGAAATCATCTCCAACATGCACAGCATGAAAGATGCTCCAGTATCTGTTCCCCACAGCCTGGAAGGATGGAGGGAATCCCTGTGCTAAAGTACTTCTCACCTTTCCCAAAGCACAGAGCTTCCTCAGTAGCACCAAAAAAAAAAAAAAGGGCAGTGCATGTCCTGGTGTGCCTGAATAAAAGGATTTGTGGAATGTAAAGGTGTTTTCTGAAACAAGTCTCCACCCATAACTGCACTTTGGCCGGTGTGTCAGCTGTGTGCTCATCACCACAATAATTCATCAGCAAACACCAACAGCTTTGGGAAAGCTGACTCAGGAGACTGAGACCTTATTTAGCCAAAAATACTTGCTTTGATTGATTTTTTTCCTAAAAACAATTTAAGCTTCCTTTTCTGCATTCTGTGTGGCAGCTCTTGCACAAGTTAAAGCCTCCAACAAAGCCACTCTGTGCTGAGAGGCATCAGTTCTGCCAAAAATGATGCGAGCTCCATTTGCAGTGACATGAGCATACATTGATGGGGTTACCATCATTATCAGAGATCAGACACAGGATTAGGATCATTATCAAATCAGCCTACCCATGCCATTTCCTCCACTTATCCCAAAGTCCTCGAGTCTACCAGACGATGTTGACCTTTATATCAAAAAATGTCGAGCAGCCTATTTATTGGAAAGCTCCAAATTAGATGACCAAGAAGGAAAAAGCTTTTCCAGCAGTGGCTCCCACCCCCATCAGCAGGATCTAGGAGCTCCAAAATGCAGGGAACTGGCTGCAGGCTTGTCAGAATCGTCTGATTGATTGAAGGAGATGTGCTGATCGACCAGGCAGCCATTCAGGGGTGTTGTCCATTCCCTGCCCAGGACTGGGAGATCCATCCATCCATCCATCCATCCATCCATCCATCCCCAGAGTCGGCTGTGCTGGGCAGGAGCAGCACATGCAGTGGGGTTTAAAACCCTGGTCCAAGGAATGAGAGGAGTTTGGGATTGAGCTGGCAATGGGGAGCCTCAGCAAAACCACACGCTGTGGAGGACCAGGGCATGGCTTTGGACATGGGCCACAGCCCTTCTCCTGCTCAGGAATCCTGGAAGAGAATCTCCAATGGGTGCAGGACTCTGGAGCGGGATGTGGGTGTGTGTCTCACATCAAGGACAATCCTTTCCCAAAGTTTCCCATATCCATTGTGTGGGTCAGGCTAAAGCTCAGCTCCAGGTCCAACAGACAGTGAAGATGACTCTGTTGGAAAGAGAAAACCAGGATGCACAGCCATGATGGTGACTGGAGCCTGGCGGGTGAGCGGTAGGAACAGCCCCACACATGCTGCCAAGGCTTTGGGATGCCAGCACCCAGCCAGGATTTTGCCATGATCACCTGTCCATCCTCAGACTCAG